CTGTGAAAGGAAAGCTAAAGCTAGCTGTCCTGGAAAAACCAAGCATTAAGATGACCCAGCACCTAAAGCCTTTATACATTAAGGCACATTTCAAGGGGAGGCCAATAACTAGGGTCCTCATGAACAACAGGTCGGTGGTGAACATATTGCTAGCTTGTATGATGCTCAAGATGGGGTGGGAAGAGCGAGACCTGATGCCAACTGAGGTATCCATTGTAAGATTTACCAGAACAGCCTCTAAAGTCCTCGGTGTGTTACCATTACAAGTTGATATCAGGACTAAATCTTCTTTAATGGCCTTTTTCATGATCAGCACTATAGTAAAATATCAGGCCCTTTTAGGTCGAGACTGGATCCATGCCAATGAATGCGTACCTTCCTTACTACATCAGATGTTTCTCATATGGAAAAGGGAAGAAGTAAAAGTAGTCTGGGTTGAAGATAAGCCATTCATAGAAGTCATTGACTTTATGGATGTGAGGTATTATGACACTGATGTGGGCCCGTTTACATTTTGAAAGACACAGGGAGTCCTTTCGTGCAAAACAATAACAAATGCTATAGTGCCTATAACATCACAGAGGCACGAGCCCATCATAGAACTGGTTGATGATTGAGTCAGATAAAAGAAAGGCTATAGCAATTATAGCCATTCAAAGGCTATAGTTGCACAACCTACAAGAAAGACTAGAAGACTACGAACCTAAAACCTTTGGGGTTAAAGTCATACATGAAGATGAAACCAAAGGGTAACACAACTGCACAAGCTAGACCCTGCACCTTTGAAATTTGAAGACATAGCCCCAAAGGTTCAAGATCCACCGGAAGAAGTAAACCTTGGATCCTTAAAGGAGCCGAGGTCACTTTCATTAGCTTACTATTAAATGAAGAACAAAAGAATGCTATCAAGCAAGTACTACAATAGTTCAAGAATTTCTTTACATAGGACTATGATGAAATGCTAGGGCTGGTAAGACAACTGGTCGAACACAGGCTTCTTATAAAGCCAAATTACAGACTCCACCAATAGCTTTTCGGGAGAATGTTAGTCGAGGTAAAGCTACGAGTAAAGAAAGAGATAAAGGGCCTCCTACAGGCTGAATTCATACAGCCTTGCAGGTATGCCTAGTAGCTCTCAAATATAGTCTCGTAATCAAGAAAAATAGAAAGCTATGAGTTTGCGTAGATTTTCAAAACATAAATATGGACACACCTAAAGACGTGTATGCAATGCTTATTGCAGATAGGTTGATAGATGCTGGGGTTGAAAATGCTTTATTATCATTTATGGATTGCTTCTCTAGATATAATCAAATATTTATCGTGAAAGAAGACATTCACAATATTACTTTTAAGTGCCCGAGTCTATTGGGACATTTGAATGGGTAGTCATGCCATTCAGTCTGAAAAACACTGGGGCCACCTATCAATGGGCTATGAATGCTATCTTTCATGATAGGAAAACATTTGGAAGTATACATAGATGATATAATGATTAAATCTAAGAAGGCACACGATCATATTGAGCATTTGAGGACGAGTTTCCTCCTCCGAATGAGGGAAGTCAGCCTTAAATTGAATCTACTTAAGTATGCTTTTGATGTAACTGCAGGTAATTTCCTTAGTTTCCTAGTCCATATAAAGGGAATTGAAGTAGACCAGAACAAAGCACAGGCTATCTTAGAAGCAAAGGTGCTAAGCAACAAGAAAGAGCTTTAAAGGTTTTTAAGATAAGTCAATTATCTCAGGTGTTTCATCCTAAATCTAGCAGGGAAGACGAAAGAGTTTTCTGAGCTCTTAAAACTTAAAGATGTCGAAGAATTCACCTAGATCGGACATCATCAAGCAACCTTTGACAATATTAAACAACACTTAACAAAGCCTCCAATCTTAGCAGCCCCAAGGGAGAACACCCCATTTTTATTGTGTTTAGCTTCTACCGTCACGTCCATAGATTGTATGTTAGCCTAAAATGTTGATAAGGGACATGAGCAGGCAATCTATTATTTTAGTAGGTGCTTAACTCCCAAAAAAACTAAATACTCAGCTATGGAAATAGTGTGTTTAGCGCTATAGTATGCTTGTACTAAATTGAGGCATTATATAATAAACGCAGTTGTGTATGTGATTTCTCATTCTGATTTAATGAAATATATGCTTAATTGGCCAATCATGATAGGCCGTATAGGAAAATAGAGCTTGGGCTTGGAAGAATTCTCATTAATATTCTTATCTCAAAAATCAGTAAAGGGCTAGGCATTAGCAAATTTCTTAGTTGATCACCCCTCAGTCGAGCTCCTAAAAAAATGAGTGAGAACTACCTATGTTCTCAATAGATTTGGGGCCCTGGGTGTAAGTCCGATAGGTCTAGTACTGACCAAGCGTCGGGGGTTAGGGTAGTAATAACTTGTCTTACTGGGGTAAAAATGATATTATTTCTTTAATTAGATTTTGAATGTACTAACAATCAGGCGGAGTATGAAGCACTACTCACAGGGCTCAAAATTGTTTAAGAAATGAGAGCCCATAATGTGGTTATAGAAGGGGATTCTTAATTAGTCACCAAACAATTAACTGGCAATTATAAGTGTATAAACCCGGCTCTAGTAATGTATTATGCCAAGGCATTTTAAATCTTAGAAGAGTTTGAGACTATAACGTTAACTCATGTTCCCTAAGCTTAAAATTGGGAGGCTAATGAACTAGATCAAATAGCATCAGGGTTAAGGTTGTCACCCAAACTCACCAGGAAGATAATTGTGGTGGAATGGAAGGAACATCCCCCGGTCTCTCAGCGTGGTTTGACAATATAATGTGGTGCGGTCTCGCAAGAGTTAGCCTGGGCTTGGCAAGATAATTTCAAGAGTTATCTACAAAATCCTAGCCAACGATATCCTTACAAAACAAAGATATGCACTCAATACTTCATTCTAATTGGAGATGAATTATACAGAAAAGGTCCTGACGGATTATTACTTAGGTGTTTGGCCTTTGCTGAATATATAGAGGTCTTAAGATAGGTGCATGAGGGAGTATGTGGGGCCCATTAGTCATGGCCAAAGATGAAATGGTTGGTGCAAAGGCATGGATATTATTGGCCATTAATGACTAAAGATTGCATTGAATATGCTAGAAGATGCAAGAAGTGTCAGACTCACGGGCCAACACAGCAGGTACCCACATTAGATATGCATCCGATTATCAAACCATGGCCTTTTCAAGGATGGGCTATGGACGCAATAGGAAAAATTTATCCGACCTCATCCAAGGGCCACTCATACATCTTAGTGGCCACAAATTATTTCACAAAGTGGGTAGAGGCCATCCCTATGAAGAAAGTGAAACAGGACGATGTAATTAACTTCGTACGTGAGCAAATCATGTTTTGATTTAGGATTTCTTAAATAGTTACAACAGATTAAGGAACAATATTCACTGGAAGCAACTTTAAAGCCTTCGTCGGGGAAAGTGGGTTTAAATTGTTGACATCCTCACCATATTACCCTCAGGTAAATAGGTAGGCTGAAGCTTTCAATAAAATAATCCTTAGAATTCTAAAGAAGACAATTGAAGAGAAACCTACAGAATGGCACATGTGATTGCGTAAGACACTATAGGCATATTAGATGCCAAATAAAGAAGCTACAAGCATGAGCTCATATGTGTTGACATACAGGTAGGAAGTCGTATTGCCTATGACAATAGCAGTCCCTTCTTTACGCATTGTGAACAGTTTAGAAAGACCCTCTAAGGATTACAATAAGGCTATGATAAATGAGTTAATTCAGTTAGATGAAATACATTTATAAGAATATATAACAACAGAATAAAAAGGAAACACTTTCAGGTAGATGAGCTCGTGTGGAAACTTGTGTTATCACCTGGTTCTAAAGGCCGGATGCTTAGAAAATTTTTACCTAACTGGAAAGGATCGTTCAAGATAAGCAAAATACTTAGGGGAAACTCGTATGTGTTAGCAAGTATTGATAGGACTCCATACAAACATGCTATAAATGGAAAATATTTAAAGAAATATTGGCTGTCATTATAATATAGTCGAAAGAGTAAAGAAATAAAGGACCCGAGGCCTAGAATGGCCCCAAGGCATACAAAGGGCACACAATAATAAAAAATAATTTTTCTCTTTATTACATATAATTATGTTATAAAAGTACAAATTAAAGAATAAAAAATGAAGAATAAAAGTACACATGTTCTCTATTTACAAATGGTCTGGAGGGTCTCCCATGTCGCTAAGGCTGAGTCTAGCTCCTTAGATAAGTTCTGATGTCGTCTAAGGGCCATCTCGAATTAAAGCATGGAATGAAGCTTTTCATCCGAAATGGCCCATGCATCGTTTAGAGCTTTGGTTGCAACTTTCAATTCGGACTCAGCTAGACCGTCTTCAGCTTCAGCCCTTGGCAACTCCTCTTCAGCAACTGTTAGCTGGTGCCTCAAGTTCACTACCTTAGCCATAGCACCTGAAGATGATCTACTTGAGGATTGGTCTCTTGGACTCGATTAGTGGTAGCAATCGTTTAGGTCTTGGTGGCAAGATACTCATTACTTATAGACCAATTGTTTTCAAATAGTCTGAAAGAAAGGAGTTCTTTATGACAACGATTGATGATGCTGACTAAAGAACATTGAAAGCCTTTAAGGTCCTTCGTAAAGACAAACTCTGCTAACTGAAGAACTCGAAAAAGTTCTTTGAATCAGTCAATGGATGACCACCCAGAAGGTAGGTAATGGGTAGTTGGTGTGGGAATCTTTAGGGAAGGGTTCCCAATGAAGAAATAGGAAGTAGGCCATTGTCCACAGCTTCAAGAACCAGACGGGCCCATAAAAGTTGTTGAAGAGTTTGTTCATTAGTGACTTCCTCATAACGTCATAAAGGTGGCATAAAAACATCATCCCTAAGGCTATCTAATTACCGCAGGGTAGAGACTAGGCAATCTTCAAGTATAGCTACACGAGCTTCCAACCCCCGGGGCCAGGATCTATTGGCTCAATAGGATCCAGATGGAGACCAGGTGCTCTGTGAGGGTGATGGGCTCGTCGACTAGCTTCTCAAAGAATAGCTCCATTTTCTTCATATAGGAGCTCACGCTCCTAATCTTTCTTTCTAGTTCAACTGAGAGAGTGGTGTAGGAGCCATACTTCTCAAAGATTATGTAGAAGTTCTCTTCCCTAGTGATGGGCAGCCCTAAGTACATAAAGACATCCCATAATGTGATGGACATAAGGTTGAGCTCAAAACTGAAGGCGTTACAGCCCAGAAACTAAAAAAGGCCATTAGAAGGTCGAATAGGATGTTGACACTGGCCAAAGACAATTGAATCAAGTCATAAAGACCCATTGCCTTCCACTGGGGCACATATGTCTACTTTAAGCATCCTACCCAGTTAACCCAAGTGTGAGGAGACTGGGGTCAACTTCTTAACTTTCAGTAGAATGACTAAGGAAAAGGTGAGGTCATTCGGGCCAAGACCAAATTGAGAACGGAGGTAAGCGGCTAGGGATTTGGTTGAGTAGGGGCAATCACTTTAGACAGGTTAGGAGAAATAGTCAGGTACCTAACGTCACTTTTGTTTGAGATTTGAAAACTTCAAGGAGAAGTGATGAAAAGGAAATGAACAATTATCATATTTCCCTCATGAAATAGAAGGGCTAAACAGGAGAAGTAAAAAAAATTTACTAGAAGGCAATAGAATCATGGAACAAAGAACCCTCTTGTAAAGAAAATAAGATACATAAAACCAAACTGGTCATTAAACCAGTCATGGCACTAGGTCATGGGTTAGTGGTTCAACCGAGATTAAACAGGGGGTTGAACTAAGGGCAAATCGGTCATGATTAAAATAAAATAATTTAAATAAAAAGACATTAATTATAAAAACATTCAACTAAATACAACACTTCAAATATCTATCCTTACAATTACAACCCTTCAATCTCAAAAGTCTAACTAATATTCACCTACACCAAAGTCATCATTAACTTCATTCAAATCTCCGAGCATTGAGACATTAGGAGTAGAATGAGAAAAACTAAAACCACTAGTAACATCAGGCAAAGATAGGGACTCTAGAACATTCATATATTCATCATCTACAACAAACAAAAATTAATACTAATGAATGGCATTTCAAGAAATTTGTATACTTGTATTAGACATGATAGTAGATTTAATAAACCTTCATAATCACTCTCAAGGGTTAATAGAGCAGCTATGGTTTCATTGTGAATGGCAATTTCAAGATTTGCAACTTCTTGAGAATTAAACTCAAGAGCTAGCTCTTCCTCTTCTTCAGCCACCCAAAAGTCAACTTTGTCAATTGATTCATAATCAATGGGATCATAACTTTTATTTTTCCTCAATTGACTCCTTGAAAAAAATAAAGCAATCAAATATGATAAACAATAATAAAATTCATATTCAATTATAAAACTAAAAAAGCATTGCCATTTAAAACTCTAATTCTTACCTATGCTTCAATCGCAGATTATAATTTGTAAAAGCCAAATCATTCAATCTTTGATATTGTAATCTATTTCATCTTTTGGTATGGAAGCATTCAAACAAACTCCAATTTCTTTCACAGCCAGAAGAAGAAGAAGTTTGGCTAAGAATATGCATTGCAAGAGTTTGCAATTCTGGAACAGAACCTCCATAGAATGACCACCATTCATCTGTAAATAAAAGACATTTAGTTAGATGTTAATCATGATAACTAGAATTACCATAAATATGTTAAATAATAAATATGAATACTCACAAGGATCTAATTTCTAGGCTGCTCTTTAACATGAAGTTTTGTCAAAAGATTCTTTACAATCACTATGCAAACTCAACTGCTTCATCATCACAATATAATCAATTTCTTCACTTTCATTTGACTCAATCACATCAAGCATTGCATCCATTAACCTTCTCTTGTGAACAAAATTCTCATCATACAAGAATGCAGGATTCAACAAATATGCCGCTATATGAAGATTTGTCTTAAAGTGCTTATCCCATCGAGCTTAAATAATTTTTGTGTAAGGCTTGTAATAATCTTTCTTATTGTTGAATGTTGCCTTGATTGCTTTTTTTACCCTTTGCATGCCTTCATAAACATAAGGCAAAGAAGGCTTCTCATTTGAATCCACAATTCTCAACAATTTTATAAGAGGAGACACAACCTTCACAATTTCTAAGCAATCATCCCAAAAGCCATTATCTAATATGATGGCAGTAACAATTATTCCAACTTGAGTCTTTGACAATTTGTGATCCACAAAGTGCTTATCAATCACCAAAGCTTGCAAGTCATGCTTATGCATATATATGCTATACAATGTGATAAATGTAGTAGCAAATCTTATTGCACCAGGATGTACAATTTCTTTCCAACTCGGTCTTTTCCTAAGCCATGACAAGAAGATCATATGATTATAAACAAAAACAGTTATCTTTAATGCCTTAGTTGCAAGTGCTGACACATTGTCTAAGCTTGCTATATCTTTTAAAGTAAGGTTCAAACGATGAGCAGTACAAGGTGACCAATAAATATTTTGATATTTTTTCTTAATCAACTTGCCACATGCTACATAATTTGCAACATTATCAATCACCACATGAACAATGTTCTTAGGACCAACCTACTCAATCACTTCCAAGAACAATAAGAATAAAGTCCTAGCATCTTTTACCAAATCTGAAGCATTAACAGATTTCACAAAAACCATTCCATGTGTAGAATAAACTAAGAAATTAATCAAAGTTTGCTGCCTCACATCTATTCGACCATCAGCCATGAGTGTACATCCAGTGTTTTTCCATTTAGCTCGATGACTCTCAATAAGTAATTGATATTCTTTTTTCCAATCTGTCAATAAATTGACTCTAAATTCATAAGCATTAGGGGCTTTGAACCTTGGCCCAATTAAAGCAATAGCATCTATGGCTTTTTGAAATGAAAGGCAATCTAATGCATTAATGGGAATGCAATTGATGATAGCCTATTCAGTAATAGCCATTTTTGCATTGTACTATGCTTCTTTTGTTGTAAACACACTCTTGATGCTAGGTTAGGAACCAGGAGTTGTCCTGGGGGTAAAATAATTCTCAACTGAAACACTAGAAGCTTGCCTCTTATTGGCACCACTCTCAGGGACCATCTTAATTAGAGTAGGAGCAATTGGATCATTAGTTTCAAGGTCCCTAATGTCTACTTGTTCTTGTTCTTTTCTATCATCAACCTTCCTTTTTATCCCACCTTTCAAAGACTCTACCATCCTGTGACGTACATCATTAAGAACTTTTTTACAAGAAGCTACTTGACCACTCACAACAGTAAGGTGTTGCTTCATTTTGTTAATCCCACCTCCTCCATAGCTTGATGCACAATAAAGGCAGGTATATATATTTTTCTAGCCTTCTTTTCTTAAGGCAACATGTGTCCAAGCAGGATCAATTTTTCCATGCATAGATGGGGCCTCAGATGTTGAGTCATTACCACTAAGAGGGGGATTATTGGAATTAGGGGTGGGATTCTCATTTCTATCACTACTAGGATTACTTCCAATATCTATGATCAATGCAATAATTATATTTTAACCTGCAAGCTAAAATAATGACCAAGCTTCAATTTCATTTCTCAACATAAATGCTAAATGCAAAGTTTAAAAAATAAATTAGCAATAAAGGTGAATCAAGAAACAATTAGGCACGAGTTGATCATCATCTTTAAAAACAACAATCATCTTCTTCATTGCCAAACATATCAGCAATAAAAACAGAGTTGAGAAATATTAAGCTAAATCAAGAAAACAAACATCTAAGCTACCGAACTGAACATTAAGCTAAATCACTATTAAGCTAATCACATAGGATCAAAATCCTCTACAGTCCAGTCGAGAAATATTAACCTAAATCAATAAAAACTCAGCTTAAGCTACCGAACAAGCAAGAAACAAATCACGAGCAATAGAGTCGAGCACTTAAGCTGAATCAAGAAACAAAAAACAGAGTCGAGCACGAGCAACAGTGACTGACCTAAAGCAAAGAGAATACAAGCTGCCAAACTGAGCTATCACGAATTGAGCAGTTGAGATTTTAGATCGATTAAGCTAGAGAAGAGACGGAGATAGAGATGGAGAAGAGACGGAGAGTTAGAGACTGAGCTGGAGAAGAGACCGAATAGCAGAGATGAAGATAGAGCTAGAGAGGACGGAGAGTCAAAAACTAAGTTGGAGAAGAGACAGTTGAAGATTAAGCTAGAGAAGAGACATTGATTAGGTTAGGGTGAGAGAAGAGAGACACAAACGAAACTCACGAAAGGGAAAGGTCGAACCGATGCTGTCTGGCATCTGCAAATCCAAAATTTGGATTTCATTTTTCACTTTTTTTGTTATTTTCAAACTCAGCTGACAGCTCAGTGTTCTGGAAAGAAAATCAAAAATGAAAAAAAAATAAATCCCCTAAAATAACGTCATTTTGAGGGTTCTGTCTGAAAAAATAATAACCCAGTTAACCCAGTCAACCCATCGAGTTATTTAGGTTATATCAAGTTGAACTTGGGTTGACTTGGTTCATTCCCTCACTGATTTAGGAGTAAACCCAGACCGAACAAGAGATCGGGTCATCGGTTCCCTGGTTGACCTGGCTTGTCCGGTCTGGGTTTCAATACCATGAAAGAAAATAAAAAATATCAGAATGAGGAACCAATCTAGGGAAAATAAGGGTTTCAACAATTAAATACATATCATTACAAACCTATCGAGTGAGGAAACAGGATTCTAGATTGTTGCCAAAGAATTAGGTAGACTTCTGGTGGATGTGAAAGATGGAGCGATAGTAGAGGCAGCGATAGAAGTGGGGAAGTCATTTGAGAGTGAAGGAAAGATGGGAGCAATGGAGTAAATGCTTGAATATCAAGAAACGGCAAAAAAGGTAAGAGAAATGACTAGAAAAAGAAATGAGTATATATTAACAATGGGCGCTCAGAGACAAAGCGATGTTTCAATTTTTTCAAACATGCCATGTGGCTTACGCTATTAGCCATTGGCATGCAAGGGGCATTGTTTAGGCTAAAATATGAAACGTCGCTCAGATAGGTCACAAGACTAGTTGAGATGAGTAACTAAAGAGTCAGGCCCAATATAAATAAAAGGGTTGGCCCTGAAGCTCAATAAAGGCCACGATAAAATAAACATGCTGAAATTTTGTCAGTTACAAACATTGGACCGTTGGCACAAGAAGACACGATCTCAAGTAATTCTTGAATTCGCAGATATCGTGCCCAAGTATCTCAGTGAGACAAGCTATTTACCAAAAATGGGGCACTCGAAATAAAGATCGTGCCATAAGTTTCACAAGATCCTTGATTCTTCAACAAAATGTGCTAGGTATTAAGGGAGAGGCAACCACTACTTTGACACTATAAATAGAAGACGAACACATAAAAGAAAGATAGTCAACACCCAGTTAAAGACTCACATTTTTACATCTTGTAGCCTTTAGTTATCAGTTAGCTTTACTTTCAATTTAGACTTGTAGTTTCTCGTATTTCAATAAAATCAAAAACCTATTTCATCAAAGCTTTGTATCTTTTTACATTCGATTGACCTATGGTAAGGGAGCTCAAGACCCTTTTATTATCAATTGAGACTCAACGTCTCTAGCACACTTGGTATTTGTTGTTCACCATGAACAACATGCAACCACCTCTTTACAATTTATTGATTGTCATGATCTGATGGTTTTAAACCTTGCATTAACCCTACTTATACTTTGACAAGGTATTTGAAAACTAAATTGGTCACTGAATTGATCAAGATATTAATCCAAGGGGTAATAGTCAAAACTATAATAAAAAACTGTGATCAAACTAATCATCAACAAAGCGTTTATTAAATTGATCAAAATACTAGTTTGACAATTTATTAGTTCAATCAAATAAATTGACCCATACTTTCATATTATTCTTTCCCGTTTTATAGCAAAACCACCCTTTCTCCCTTGATCTCTCCTCGCTGATATTCTTTCAATGACCTTTCATATGACTTCATTTAGATAAGGAGAAGAGAATATTATGTGAAAAAATTTCTAAAAATAATAATTGTTATTTTTTTAATTTTTGGGAGTATCCTCTCATAATTTTTTTTCTTATTTTTCTTTTTGACAAACAGAGAATTAATTTTGGCAGGAAAGCATCCAAATCCCAATTCTCCAAAGTAGATTATAAAGCACTTTGTGACGTTCAAGAACCACCTGATAGTATTTGGAAGCCAAATGCCTTCTTTTCTACTGTAAATTGTAATATTATAATATATTAACTTTTTTTTGGCCAAATAATATATTAACAAGACTTGGCATGAAGACTTTACAAGATTCATAGATGAAGTATTATTTTAAAAGCCTTTACAAGAAATTCGAATAAGGAGAATGACACAAAAACACCTCCCAAATGGATAATTCTCTGACAAGAACCACAAAATAATCTAATTACCCAGTAGTTTCCTGGGACTTCTTTGATACCAATGTTTTTATGAGATGATAATATTATCCTTATTTGAGGACATATGTAGCATTGCTACTTCTCGTGTCTGCTCTAACTTTTGGGCCTAGTGCCTCTGGTTATGTTTAATCCCCTGTTAAACCAAAAAAAGAGGTTCAGACACCTTTCTTCTTATCATATGTTCCATTTAATTCTCTCTCTCTCTCTCTCTTCCTTTCTAGCTTACGAGAGAACAAGAAGCACCAGCGCTCTATCTCCCTAACATCAATTATTCTTCACTGGATAAACCTTATTGTTAGTTAATTGAATTAGTTGGATTGGGTTAGATTTTCTTTTCATTCTGATCAACTAAATGATTTATTTTGGATTTGGGTGTTGTTCCCTTCATCGTTGTCATTGGCAACTATAAATTATTCATATCAAGCTCGACTGGCAAGGCCAGCTCAAGTATTGGATCTGCATTCAGTGTTCGTCAAAGCCAGGAGCAATCCTGACCTTTCATTTTACCCTAAATTGATATCTGCCATTCATTTAAATTAATTTTTAAATATTTTTATTATTATATTTATTAAAATAAAAAATATAAAAAATTTTAATATTAAATCTGGACTACTTAGAGTACATTTAAATAATTAATTTGTAAAATTTATAAATTTTTAATATTAAATTAGATTATCTAAATTATATCTAAACTATATAGAGTCTATCTAGATAATCAATTTATAAAATTATAAATTTTTTAATATTAAATTAGACTGTTAGATTAAATCTGTATTGGCAAGATTAGTAATGAACATGTTTATTAAAATTTTAAATTTTTTTATATTTTTATATTAATAAATATAACATTAAAAATATTTACAAATTAATTTAAATAAATGACAAAGATCAATTTGTGTGAAATGAGGGCCAGGATTGCTCCTTGTTCTGATGAGCATGCGGTGCTCACCAAATGCAATCGCATGCTCCTTTTGTCCAAAATATAATAGTTACTTCCATCTAGAGTCTGTTTGTTTAAAATTTTTTTTTATAGAAAAGATCACTTATTTTTCAAAAAAATATATTTTAGGAAGTTTTATATTGTTTGTTTAAATTTTTGAAAATAATCAAATCTAAAAAAACATATATCTAATTATTTTAAAAATATTTTTTTTGTGATAGATAAAAGAAAATGTTATAAAAATGTGGACATACATGAAAAATATCATAAAATTTGGAAATAATTAAATATCAAATTATTTTTATAAAATAAAATTTATCCATGAAGATATAATAAAATTTAAAAATAATAAATTAATAATCACTTTTTGTTACTGTATCCTAAACATAAAATAATATCTGATTTTATGCAATATCTAAACATCCTTTTTTTTAATCTAAAAAAAATAGGCTCCTCAGTTTTGTCTAAAATATAAGCAATTTAATAGTTGTAAAAAAATTTTATTTCATTAATTATATTTATTAACCTAGATTCTTGCATGAATTTATATTTTTTTTCCACTTGGTGATTCATAATTTAGATTGTAAGTGGAAAAAAAAATAGAGAATTACATCAAGCCCCTCCTAAGAGAATTAATTACAAATAAGGATTAACAACAAGTCTCATTCGAGAAAAAAAGTCATGTTTTTATTTTAACAATAATCCATTTTATATTGATCTTTATTTATAATTAATTCTCTTGAAAGAAAGTTGGATGTGATTTTCTAGAGTTGGGCAAAAGTCCTTTGATCCTATTCGACCTAGTCCAACCCAAGATAGTCTTATCCTATCTAGCCCTTATAAACATTGGTTCTTCAAGACCAAAAAGACTAAAAAGACCAGATTATTTCTTTAGGTTGGACTAGACAGGA